ATGTGACTGGGTATACAGTTGTGTATGGATATATATGTACTTATGTACTGTATGTGTATTTCATGTACGTTTGTATTGTGTTTGTATAATTGTTCATGTGATTGTTTGAATCACTTTATTTTGCCTTAATTTTTTTTTTAAAGTTTAATATTGCTTTTAATTTTATATGGCTGAACAGTTTCTTTTTTTTTTACTTTTCCTTAATGTCCCTTTTGAAAATTTGAATTGTCTTTTTCTTAGCATAAGTCTTTTTTGTGAACTTTACTGTACATTTTGTTTTGGACGCACCTTCGATTGAGAAGTGTGCCACTGATTGAAAAGTGTAGTTCCTAATAAATTATTATTATTACTGCAGTACATTCAGGACCAGAGGAAAATATATCTTCAAAAAAACAGAATTGAAATAGCAACCGTACATGTATAATTGCTCAAAGCGATTTAATTGAGATTAATGGTAATACTGGCACACTTTTAGAAAACTGTTACTAACCCGCTAGTTCATAACTCACAAAATCTCTTGCTGCCTAATGCGATTGACGAAGACGAATGCTTAGCATATATTATGAGTCGGCTAATCTAGTGGTAGTCACTGTGTGTGCGCTGAATCGTGGTGGAGATCTATAGGTCCCTCGAATATTAAACTGATTTTTTAATCCAGGCTATGGAACAAGAGCTTGCTCCGTCCTGGACCAGGCCTAATATTTTCACCTGGACCGAGCAACGGCGGCGCAACGTTTTTAGAAGTGTGTGTGTGTGTGGGGGGGGGGGCATTTCATAAGGTCCAGTATGCGAGCGAAGCAAGCATCTAGGCTGGGAGCCAGGGGGCCGCCAAGGGAACCCGGTGGGGGTCCAGGCGGCGAAGGCCACTGGAAGCTACGGCTATTTTACGAAGTTTGGTGAATTTTATAGCCATCAAGCTACTGTAATATGATTTCATATTTGCTGTAATTTAGTGGCCGATCCAGGAATTCGATATAGAAGGGCCCAGGGAGGGTACTTTCACAGATAGACTCAGCCCCACCATGGTTGTGGCTGAGGTAAGAAAATTTGTGATTATGGCACCTCTAGATGGCCGGAAATTGCACTTCCAGACATACAATTTGAATATAATTATCTTTATATCTCCATTATTTTATTGAACAATTTAAGGGGGTAGGGGTGGGCCGGCTGAGTCCCCTTGAATCTGCCACAGGGTATTTCAGCAGATGGAGAATCTATACCACCTCAGTGCCACCCATGGTTGGGATTAGAAAATTTGTGAATATGGCTCCCCATGGCCGGAATCTACACTCTCAGACTTAAAATCGAAGTCGAGATTGCTTCCATGACCTCAATGGATTATTTATCATGAGGGTTATCCTTGATATGGGTTCCCCGACGAAAACTTAACTTTTCCCCCGATGAATAAAAATTACCCTTCTATGCAGCCTGGAAATGATACTCCAACAGTGGCGGGTCCAGGAAGTCGAAATAGAGGGGTTCCAAGGAGAGTCTTGTGCAAATAGAATGTCCACCCGCCTCAGCCCCACAACTGTTAGGGCTGAGGTGAGAAAAATATGATTATGGCACCTCAGATGGCCGGAATTTTTTTGAAAAAAAATAGGAGGATGGGGTCCCGTGCTGACTGGGTTCCCCATTGAATCTGCCACTGTTCAATATAACACTTGACATAGTTAATTCGTAATGTCAAGCGAAAGATTTTTTATTCGAAAGTTTTTTTTTTTTGTTTTTTTTACTCAATACAGTTTTTACAACCTATAACACATTAAGTGTACTGTAAATTCTGTAGTTAACCTTCAGAGAACTTTATTTTAGAAAATGGCCTAATTATCTAATTGTTTTCGTTAAATTAGGTGGAGTTTAAATGTGGTTATATTACGCTAGTCTTTAATGTTTACTGTAAGCCAATCAGTTACACTTACTATTACATCTTCGTGGTTAGCATAAAGAGAACTAGAACGTTGCTCCATTAAGAGTGTCTCCTCCCCCCATATGCCTAAATACAGAATTCACGAATGCAGGCGATCTTTTCTTTATGCTCGAGGGTGGGTTCCAAAGAAACTTTACAGACGCACGTACGTATACAGACGTTAATCAACATTTTGTTGCTCAGCTCCAAAAGGGAACTTGTAATGTTCGTTAGAAAATTTAAACAAAATCTATATTTTATAATAATAATAATAATAATAATAATAATACGTCAATTTATAAGGCGCAAATAAACAAGGTGTAAATAATAATAATAATAATAATGATAATGATAATAATAATAGGCCTAATAATGATAATACTAATACTAATACTAATAATAATAATAATAATAATAATAATAATAATAATAATAATAATAATAATAATAATAATAATAATAATAATAATAATAATAATAATAATAATAATAATAATAATAATAACAATCGAAATAACAACCATTGCAGCCGTTCGTAAAATTTTTGTTACTGGTGTTGGGAACAGTCACAAAAGTGGGGGTGGGGGCCGGGGGGGGGGGCCCTTCCCCCCAGTAGAAAAAGGGGGGGGGGGGCAATGGCCCCTCCCCCCACCCCACTTCCGCCGCCGTTGCCATTTTCTACAGAGGAAAATAAAAACAGAATCGAAATAACAATTAATATCTAGGCCTATATAGTATATTGCTCAAATCGATTGAGATTAAGGGAAGTAATAAGTAACTGAAAAAACCCCCAAGAACTTAATCCGTTTATTCGTAACTCACAAAAATGCTGGTGATGCTGCTATTTAGGCCTATACGGTAGCTATCTTGTTTTATTCAAGTACAAAAAAATAAAATAAAATATATTTACAGAATCGGTGATACAACTAAATTGTAAGCAGGCCATGTGGTAAGCAGGCCATGTGCCTCGATAATTTCGTACGAGATTCGAGTCGATTCACATTTGCATCTGCTATCTGAATTCACTGCCCAAGAAACATTTGAAAACTTCACATGAATTAATTGTATGAAGTCCGGATGGGATTTTGAGTAAAGGTAGAATTATCAAATAGCATCTGAAAATATGTCCTTCCAATAAATTATACAACTTTGTGTTAGTCTTTAAAACATTCTATTACATAAGTTTTAACATATTATTTAAATACACGTATTTTACGATAAGAATTAGGCCTAATGAGCATTTCCAACACCAATATTATAGCGTGCTTTTCTTTTATATTAATAGCATTTACATTCGTGTTACGGTATCGCTTCTCGGCCTTTTGGCTAAGATCATGTGTAATATCTGTTCTTTTCAGCTTAATATTTGAAACGCTGCTCATTGAGTAGCTTTAAATATTAAACTGACTTTTGAACTTAGGCTATGGAAAAGGAGCTTGCTCCGTCCTGGCCACGGGTTGACCTGGTATTGCAGTACATTCAGGATCAGCCCATCCCCTACAAAGGAAAATATATCCTTAAAAAACAGAATCGAAATAGCGACCACTATATACTTTACGTATACATTCTCCTATACAGAGAAAAATATATCTTTAACAAAACATATCTTTAAAAAAGCAGAATCGAAATAACAACCATTAACACCATAATATAGTTTACGTGTATATTTCTCGAGGCGATTGAGAGGGTAGTTTAGTGCTGTACGTCTATAAAACACTAAACTAACCCGCTAGTTCATAACTCACAAAATCTCTAGTGATGCTGGAAACTGCGAAATGCGATTGAGATTCAGCGGTAATTATGTTTTGTATCTTATCCTATTAAATCATTAAAGGAAGGAAACACAAAGATTCAATGAGACAAACAATTGTGAGCAGGGCTCCATCGAGTGAGTTTTTTGCGATCTCTTGAACAAACCAAACGCTAGAAGACCGCTAGTTCATAACTCAAAAATCTCTTGCTGCTCAATGGGATTAACGAAGACGAATGCTTAGCATATGAGTCGGCTAATCTAGTGGTAGCCACTGTGCGTGCGCTGAATCGTGGAGATCTATAGGTCCCCGGCTCAATTCCCATCGTTATAATAACGCACCGTCTTTCGGATTAGACGTTGGTCCCGTGTGCATTGATGGCCAATGTGCACGTTAAAGAACGCAGTACACTCTTCGGAAAAGAGTAGGGGGTTGTCTCCCGGTGTACTGTCCAATCACCACCAGAAAGACCCCACTGGAAATAAGTCTTCTAGACTTTCGTGGGCTATCCTTGGTGTTTACACCGAATAAATACAATCCAATCCAATAAGTTGAAGTAACGTGTTTTCTTTTATTAACATACTTTTAGTTTTATTCGTCTGAAATCTTAATTAATAAATGCTGTTACTAGGAGTCCTGTACCGTTCTATCCAAACATTCATTACAAACATTCAAAACGTCAATAACACTGTAAGTATTCACAAAACTTCGGCTTTTGATGTATATAGTCCTAAAGTGGTTGGAACAAAATCAGTTTGGTCTGCCAAAATCATAGTCTTTGGTGTCTAATAAAATCCCCATACATCTAATTAAAGACCGGCACTATTAATAAAATAAGCTCGAGGCAACGTATTTTCACCTTCTTGCATGCTTGTAATTACCGGTAATTCTTGAACTGATTACTTACTATGATACCTGACGAGTGTGGGAAGCTGTCTACATGAAACCATTTTTGTAGTAATAAATACATATATGTTACATATACGTTTGACCAAGTTTGCTTGTTCATATAGGCCTATATATATATACATATATATACATATATATAATATTTAAAATGTTTATTGAAATAATAATAACCGTGCTCGAATAGTAGGCTATTACAAGATGTTATAATCGTATCAAACATAACCCTTCATCGAAAATTTTCTTCATAAGTTGAGTGTTTCTAACGGGATACAAGCCTGCACCTCTCGCTATTAATTCTAGAACCATACTATTAAACCATAGAAACGATATAGACGGAATTGTAAATCCCAGGCGCAAATATTTTGTTTTCATTGATGAAAATTGGAATAAATTTATACAATATAGACCACGAAATAAAGTTCAAAATACAGTTAGAGTTATAAAAGTAATCATTTATTTATTTATTTACTTTTCACAACAAAATATTAAAAACAGCACATCAACAAAACATATTTACTAAATGACTAATATTTTGTGCAATGATCAGATAGAAAATAAGTCAGTCAGTGTTATTAGATTATACATTTTTTTTTTCAATTATGATAACATAATATGCCTGTATGCTCAAACTTTAAGAAACATCATATGTCATGATAATTGGTCCACCCTTTTATATACAGTTTTTTTGATACCCTGGTCATTATTCATAATCAACCATGTATATGGTACAAGTTGCTTTAGTAATGCATATAGAAGGTAAATACAGTGTTCATAGGACGTGATGGTGCATCATGTAGCATAGCTCTTTTAACAGGGTTAACGGCTATCTTGATTATATGTAGCATAGCTCTTTTAACAGGGTTAACGGTTATCTTGATTATATATACATAGTAGTAGTAGTAGTAGTAGTAGTAGTAGTAGTAATAGTAGTAGTAGTAGTAGTAGTATATATATATAATATATATATATATTATAGGCCAACGTGTGTGTGTAAACACATATGTACGTTAGCGCGTCCGTAAACACAATATAAACAAATTCATAAATAATAAATACAGTGCTCGAATAGGAACAATATGTTATGATATCTTGTTTTTCTATTCGAGCACTGTTATTATTATTTATTCATTATATTATAAATTACAAACTACACAAAAGCACTATCATCAGCAGAGTGCTCAATGGTACTCCAGATCAAAATAATGAAAATAAAACACGTCGAGATCAACAATAAGTTGGATAAGACATTAGTAAAATAGTATATAAAACGATGTTGTTGCGTTGTTCCAAGCATGTGCAAAAGTGTGGAATTTCAGTTGCTCCTAATCGGATTTGAATTCCCAACGAAGCAGTCTCACAGATAGCAGAAGGTCCCAGGTTAGGATCCAGATTTTGGAAATATTTTTCATATTCGAAGTTTCCTCTTTTCAAAATTACCGCAACATGGTTTATAATTTATCTTTATCTTATACCGAGTCATTAAAGATTAGGGCGTATCATATCTCCGAAAAGATGTTAACAAAAAACTGTCTTGCCATGATAGTATATATAAACTTTGAAGAGAGGAGTGGGGAACGAATTCCCTTAGAGTTCCTTAATTTCAATAGGCCTACATTCTTCACCACTAACATGAACTATCAGCCTTCTTCAGTTTTCTTTATGCCTATTACGGTTATCACTGCATTATCATAGCTGGCATCGTCTGCTGCATCAAGATCAGAGCTCGTTTTTCCAGGCGGTTTGTAAATGAATAGTGCAAGTGAAAAGAAGGCTAATGATATTAGTTTCAATAGTATCATGATTGCTAAAGTAAGATGGCTGAAACGTTTGTTGTCGTATAGCCAACAGGTTTTGGAACCATCACACTGTTCCTCCCACAACAAACACTGACTGTCGATGATGGCACCATACAAGATCGGCCCTGGAACATTACCTGTATATTATAA